GGTGGCGGGGCGGGGGTGGTTGCGGCCCTGCGGAGCGCGGGGCGGCAGGAGCAGTAGACGTTTGCGATTGGTAGAAGTGTGGCAGGCGGGCGGGCGGCGGTGTGGAGCGGCACCTCGACAAATCATCTGGAAAGCAGCAGCGGGGCGCCCCCTGGCTTTGTCGCACACCCCGGCGCACAAAGGGCGAAAGGTAGTGTGTACACACATACACACACACACACTGATAAACCAAGTGAGCAACCGGCAAACAAACGTGCAAGTGTTCAGGTTACAAGTGCACGACTAACAGTCCATATTCTTCGTTTATCAATGGAGTAGAGAAGTTGCGTCACAGGTTAACACTAAAAGACTCACCCAATAAGAAGTATAGCCCAAAATCATTTTTCAACAACAGTCAAGAAAATGAGTATTTTTACGTTGAAGAGAATCCAAATTCTTAAAATATCTTTAGCCAAGTCCGCACGTCATTTGACGATGCGGCCTCCCCCCCCCCCTCCCCCCGTGCATGACGACGGCGTGGTCCTGGCGGGCGGTTTTCCTTGTGGACCTCCTCGCCGACCGGCCGACCGACCGCGGCCGACCCGGGGGGAGATAATATTTACTTTCTGCCGGCGCGGAGGACAGTCAGGTCGCGCGTCTGCCCGCCAGAGTGTGCCCTCTCCTCTGTGCGTGCGCCTGCGTGCGTGCGTGCGTGTGTGTGAGTGAGTGGCGGTGGTGGCCGCGGCTCCCCCCCCCCCCTCCACCCCCCCCTCTCTCCTCTTCATACTCCATCCGCCCCTCCGCGCCGAGGCCACCCAGCAGGCTCATGGGAGACATGTCGCCGCCCAGCCGCCCGGCCAACCAGAGATAAGGAGCACTGCACTCCGCAGACAGTCCTGCTGTCCTCCTTGCAAAGCCAAAAGGCGAATAGCCGAAAGCCAAAACAACATTCCCATGATTTTGGTATATAGTTTTAAATTTTATTTCGAGTGGTGGGCTCTAAGTAAGGACGGGCTGACCTGAGACAAGGTGGCGGCGGACCCCCCCGCCCCACACGGAAGGACCGCTGTAGGCAGAGAAGCTAATCTCACTGCGGGGGTGGTATGGTCGGGCGAGAGGGTGCGGTGAGGTGGGGTGGAGTGGCGTGGGGCGGGGCGTACCAGTGGTTTACGCTCGCACCTGAGCCGACCTGAGCTCTTAGCATGGGAGGCTGCCGCGCTGCAAAACCCTTGATTCTCTTTATAAACCCTCGCTGCCCCTCCTCCCGACTCCCTCTCTCCTTATTACCTCTCACCTCTCTCTCTCTCCTGGCTAATACCCCGCGTCCCGCGAGGGGAGCGCGCGCGCCTCGGCCCGCCCCGCCCCGCTCAGCCTGTGCCAAACACCATCCCCTTCGCCGCTGAGCTGCCGCTGAGCTCGCACCCCACGACGCCGCCGAGGGCCCGTGCGGGCCACCTGAGACGCACGGGCGACGTAGCCTTTCGGGACGAAAGTATGCCCAGGGCGAGGCCCCCGACGACACATTACTTTCCCAAAATGTTTCAACTAGAAGAAATTAATATTTAAAAATAAAAACCAAGAGTAATTTATGAGATGTAATAAGCGATGAACACGTGCCCGCTCGGCCAGCCCCCACCTGGTCCGCCCCTCCCGCACCCTTCCCCCGAACATCTTCCTAATTGGGGCCGACGGGGCCTGGCCGGGCCTGCCTGGCCGGGGCCGGGGAGGGTAAGTCAGTGTCCTTCCCTCCACGCGCCGCGGGCCACACGGCGGCGGCCCTCGCCCGCTAAAGAAGAACGCCACCCCATGCGTGATGATCTCGGTCGTTTAGCGCCCTCAGGGAGCCCGCGGGGGAGGGAAGGGGGTGGAGTAGGGAGGGAAGGGAGGGAGGGGAGGGAGCGAGCGCGGCGGTCAGCGCCGACCAAGCGTCCCGGGCGCTGCTGGATAGAATCAACATAAGTCCGCACGACAGCTGTCCGTAGGGCGGCGCCCCTCGCGGCACCCGCGCTGGCGGGACACCCCCCGGTTCAACACCATAAGGGACAGGGAGGGAGTACTCTGGCCACGTCAAAGTCGCATGCAGCACAACCGAACAAGACAACGACCCCGCTCCGATTTTCCTCAGTCTTAAAAGTGGGAGGTGAAAAAAATTTAATCAACGTGATTTAAGCAGGCGATCTGATTTGCGACTCAGACTTTCACAATAACGCATGCGACGCGCAATTTTGGTTTTCGAGAGGCGGGTAAACATAACCAAGCACTTCCCTTAATTCACCCCTTGTTTTCCGGCGCGCGCTGTGCCGGGGGGTCATGATGTATGCGGGGAGGGGCGGCACTCGGGGCGGCCCGGCGCGGCCCGGCCAACCAACCGCGGCCAGCGCCATGACTTATCGAAATCGGTGATTGATCAGACATCCTGCAAATCACTCTGTTGCGCCCCGTCCGCTCTCGCTTTCCCTCCCAACGCTACAGCGCGAAGCGGCATAAAAAAAAGGTATGGAGGGGTCGCTGTAGTTGCATGAGTCGAGAGGGCGCCAATTCCAGGGACCTGATTTATTCGAAACTAAATGAGAAATGAACTATACAGCGAGGCGAGGCCAGCGCCATGAAATACGACAGCATTGCGCCTTTTGCACTGAGAGAAGTTTTCGGTTGCAGTCCTGAAAGTTCTGATACCCTCCAACAAACGGTGTTCAGTGTTCGTCCAGGTAATCGAAATTTTCGTTGCTTCTAAGCGAAAAGTTTAGTTATTCCGATAGCAAATATTTTGATGCTTTGACCCGGACTTATTGAACAATTTTTGATACCTACAGTACAATGAAACATTTCTCTCAGTTTCAGGTTGGGAATGGCCGAGGGAATGGCAATAAACCGACCTTTACTTGGACAGAAAGGTGGGGTCGTCCTGCAAAAATTAACCAAACCTACAATAGCTGATTCTTGAGGCCATCTTTTTTTTTCGGGAATGGAAAAGATCATGTTATAATCTTGAACCGATCTGTCATACGACGGACTGAAGTATTGATGGACTCACCTGAGTTAGATCCCTCGTTGCTATGATGGTTGAGCACGGCGCTATTATTATTGTTATTATTATTGTTGTTGGTCGTGGTGTTGTTGTTGTTGCTCTCGGGGTGCGGCTTAGTGTCGAGGTGCTCGTGGTCTTCCTTGCAGAACAGCCCGTCGTCCCGCAGCGCAAACTCGTCCCCGGGGATGAGTTGCCTCTCGCAGGCCGTGCACCGGAAACACTCGATGTGGTAGATTTTCGTTTTGGCACGCATCACAAAATCGTTCTTGCTGAAGGAAAGGCCGCACTTGTCGCACTTGGTGCCAAACAGTCTGCGAACAGAAGAAAAGATGGGCGGGTCAGGCATACGGTTGGTTGTTCACAGAACAAGGAACCAAACAGAAGACATCAAAACTCTGAATCGGCTTCGCTATCCAGGGCACACGGCCATCTTGAGCCGAGCTTTAGGAATCTCTGAGGTTTGGAGGCGCGCAGGAGGGGCTACAGCCACAGCCGTATCCCCTTTGTGCGCATAGTAAATGACCCCTCCCCCCCCCCCTCTTGCGGGCCTCCTCGCCACCCCCGCCAGCCGGCCCACCCCCTACTACGCCACACCCACCCTCCGTCGTCTTGGGGCGGTGCCACAAGCCTTGATGGATTTGGGTGATTTTTTTCTCTCCCTTCTCTCTCTCCTGCTTTTCTTGACGGTATGATGAGGCCGTAAGCAAGTTACTTGACTTTCTCGAGCGATAAGGTACGTTACTCTTTCCAAAGGGCCTGTGATTAGACTTTAGTTTTGCCGAATGAGAGATTTACCAACCAAGGAAAGACGGACTATTCAGTCTTTAACTCAGCTTCCCAAAGTCATCGAAAAGAGGTCTTATCACAATCACAATCCAAATAACCTGAACGTTAATCGGACACTTTGCAGTGTTCATCATCCCTGTTAGCACGTGGATCTGAATGACCTCCATCAGCCGGATGAGGAAGAAGGTTGGGGAGGGTGGAAGACAACACGACCATGACGACGTCGAAGGGAGAGAAGAAGAACAAGAAGTGAGTCGGGGAATTTCAACCAGGCGGGGTGAAGGATTGCGGGGAGGGCGGGTGCAGGGCGAAAAGAAGGGGAAGAGGGTGTTTGCTTCGTGGTGCTCCTTTTCTTTATTCACGAGACGCCTGTGCTGCTTTGCGAGGGAAAAAAATTCGCAGCAGCAAAACTCTTTTCTGCATGCAGGGATTTTATGGCGCCTCGGGCTTGGCAAGGGGGTATAGGATGTGGGGAAGGTGGGAGGGTTTTGGCAGGGGGAGAGAGAATTTGTTGGAGAAGTAGTACGCGAGTGGGGGAGGAAATGGAGCGGGGGAGGGGGAGCCACCGCAAGGGGTGCAAACTTAACGGCATAATTAAATAAAGCTACCTCGGCTGGGGTTGCCTCTCTCCTCCCAGCAGCTCCTCTCCTCAGCAGCCCACTTTGAGCCTCCTACGACTCCTCCTCCATCTCCACTTCCTGATTTATTCCTAAATTAGGCTTAAATGCGGCTCCGTGTGTTTATTAGTCGCCCCCTCCGCGGCCCCCTCTGGGGCACTCACAGAGGTGAGGGGTCCCGCCCCGCGCGGCCCCAAGCGACACGGCAGGGGGGCCCAGAGGGGTAGATTCGTTATTAGCGGTAGCCTGTCACAGGGACCGTTTAGTACAACAGAGCCGCTATCGTTATGTTGCACTAAAGTGACATAACTAGACGTCGAATGAATTCAAAATTTGCTTCTACTCTCGGACATGAACTGATTCTGAAAAAGAGATATAAATACCCACTAATTTTACTTATCAGCATTTTCGACAAATGTGTAACCTAAGCATATTTTTCTAAGTTGTAAGTAAATATTATCTAATTCCGTTTGAAAAATTGTCAGTGGCTCACAAACGTTTTCACTTAGCAGGGACTCTGAAAAAAGTTTTTTTTTGGTGGGGTGGGAGCAATAAATCACGAAATATACCGGTAGTTTTCCTAATAGAAGGTGTCTTATAGTTTGGATCGTGCGGCATGCAGATGTGCCAAACATACGGCTATTGGCAGCTCAAAATCCCTAAAGTAGGCAATCCTCCCACACAGATGTATTGCAGTACAGCATAACTACGCAATTGCGAAGGTTTTATAAGTCATTCGGAATATTGTTCTTTTTGTAAACTTCACTAAACGTTAATTTGTAGTGAAGACGAGGCGATCCCAACGCCAGAAATGCCGGAACGTGTTAACTTCACAATGCTGTCCGCTCATTACTATGACTTAAAAATAAAACGACTCAAAATACGTCCGCCCGATCGATAGAATGCACTCTCTCGGGTCACTCACATCTCAGAAGCGGGCAGCGGCTGTGTCAGTCATATTGAAGCTGAAAGGCAAGAACGTATTGGATGCTAGGAGAGGGAAGGGCGGGAGAGACAGAGGGGGGAGGTTCTTGTACGGCAAGAAATGTGGAAACTCGAGAGGGTAGAAGAGCGAGAGCGAGAGGGAGAGAGGGAGAGAGGGAGAGGGAGAGAGAGAGAGAGAGAGAGAGAGAGAGAAGGGCCGCCAAGAAGAGATATCGACCACTCGAGTCGCGGGGTGGGGCGCAGCAGCGTGGTGGGGGCCCCGCTACGCTCGGTCTGGCCGCGCCGCTCAGCTCCGCTCCGCCCTGCCCTTCCCACACCCGACCGTAACGAGCCTTCCCCTTTAAGTATGGCCGAAGTGACACACAGCCACCCCCACCAACCCCTTCAGCCACTTCTCCCTGCCGCTGGTCCCGCTGGCTCCCAGAGTCCCACTGGGGGCGGAGAGAGAGAGAGAGAGAGAGAGAG